ATTTGACAGTCACTCTGTGTTCACTGTCCAACTCATCCTGGATGTCTGGCTGTGTGGTCGGGGTCTCGGACTTCTACCAGGCCCACTCTGATAAATGCCCTCAATATCCAAGAGGTGATCCTTGAGGGATCGGCACTGTAATGACTCAGTATCTCTCACTAGACCCTGCTTTCTTACAGCTCCTGTGGCAGGAGGGAGAGACTACATTGTACCCATTGCCTTTTAACCTAGATGAGCACCTGACAGATATTTGGGAGCAGCAGACCAGCCCATCTTTGCCGGAACATCTTGTTACCTACTAAATGATCTCCAACCAAGCTTCTTTGGTTTTTGTTAGAAAACTTACCTTTTGTTTTCTGTGTCCTTTAGTATTCAAAGGTCTGCTGGGACTCCCCTCCTCTGATGTGCCTTTTGTCAAACAGGATCAATTGACTAATCCCCCCATTGAGGAGTAATCTGCCTGCTCGTCAGCTCTCTTTGGGACCAGCCCATACTCCTGGGTCACTTGAAGCCACCATCATGCCACTCTCCCCACATCATCCTATTTCTTCCTTCACTGCCCTTCAAGGACAAGGGAAAAGTAAGACACTTATCTTGGATTCAAAACATCCATCTACAAATAGTCACGTCTGGGTACTCATTTATCCCTCTCTTCCTTCCAGATACAGTCCACTCACTCAATAAACCCTCACTAAACCCGATTGTATCCTGAGTATTTCTAGTCTGACAGTTTGATCTGAGTGTTAAACATGCACAAGAACCCAACAAAGAGTACTTTGAGAAACCAATGACTGATAAAAATGAAAAGAAAAGAAGAGTAGTCGTCTTAGAAACGGTGGACCAGTTTGGATGAAATGCAGAAAACTTTGAAGAGGATGAAAATGGGGCAGGCAGTTGGACCTGATGACCGATGGTTGTATAGAAATGACTCAAAGTGGTGACAATGAGTGTTTAACTCAACAGTTCTATAGCATTTTTGAGAGTGTGAAAAAGTCTAAGGAATGGAGAATGAGTATGTTGGTGCCAGTTTTTAAGAACATGGGTGAAGTACAGAGTTGTAGAAACTACAAAGGAATTAGGCTGAGGAGGCATATGAAGGTCTGGGGGAGATTTTTTTAAAAGTTGAATAGGTCCACTGGACAGTTCAGGGACATCAATTAGTTGTAGAACTCATCCAGAGGACCTACTCAATTAAAAAAAAATCTGCCTGGATTATTGAGATGGGAGTGAGTCGTAGAAGCTAGACTTAGACAAAAGTTGAATATTTGTGAGCAACAGTATGGCTTAATGTCAAAAAAGAGCCACAGATGCCATCTTGGTTTTGAGGATGCAGATGGAGATGTACAGAGGATCAGTAAAAAATTCATTTGTTTCTGTAGATTTAAACAAAAGCATACGACAGACGGAAGAGGTGTGGTATTGCACAAGAAATTCTGAAATGGCAGAGAAGTACAGGGTGGGCCATTTTTATGGATACACCTAAATAAAAGGATTATAGACCAGTTTTAGGTCTTTTTGGTATGTCCTTTTGGGATGATAACGATTCCTTCCATTGGTTAGGATAAGAACCAGAATCTAGAAGCTACTGAAATGGTCCTGTGAGAGGTCCATTTAGAGGACTGCACCAGTCCTTCAGCACCCTACCTGAGCCTGTGAAGGCCAGGGGAGTTGAGTTTTTGAAGAATGGACGTCACCTGAGGTTTGTTGATGATGAGATGTAGGTGGAGGAAGCTTGTCGGTGAGTAGGTCCATGTCAGCATACAGTCCTATTGTTGTTGTTTAAATGGGCAAAAAACTTGTTCAGTTGGACTGTACTTGTATAGCGCCTTTCTGGCCAACCAGGATACTCCAAGCGCTTCACATTACAATCTGTGCCCTCATGAAGTGCTCCAAAATCTCCTGGTAGCTAGCTGCATTGACCCTGCCCTTGAYAAAGCACAGTGGACCAACACCAGCAGCTGACATGGCACCCCAGACCATCACTGACTAACAACTCTTCTGGTTGTGCAGCATTTTCTGCCACACTTTTGCCTTCCCACAGAGTGCTGTATCAAGGCACCTCAGTGGGAAGTCTGTTCCATCTGCTGAAAAGCTTTATGGAGATGAAGATTTCATTTTTCAGCACGACCTGGCACCTGCTCACAGTGCCAAAACCACTGGTAAATGGTTTACTTGATACATGATGATACATGGTTTACATGATATTACTGTGCTCTATTGGCCTGTCAACTTTCCTGACCTGAACCCCATAGAGAATCTGTGGGATATTGTGAAGAAAAAGTTGAGAGACACAAGACCCAACACTCTGGATGAGCTTAAAGCTGCTCTCGAAGCATCCTGGGCCTCCATAACACCTCAGCAGTGCCACAGGCTGATTGCCATGCCACATTGAAGCAGTCATTTCTACAAAAGGATTCCCCACCAAGTATTGAGTGCACAACTGAACTTAATTATTTGAAGATTGACTTTTTTGTATTAAAAACACTTTTCTTTTATTGGTCAGATGAAATATGCTAATTTTTTGAGATAGGGATTTTTGATTTTTCTTTACTTTTTTGCCAAAATCATCAATTTTAAAAGACTACTTCAACTACTTCAGTTGGTGTGCAGTGAACCTAAAATATATGAAAGTTTAATGTTTATCAGTACATTACAGAAAATAATGAACTTTATTTATAGGGGAGTCGTCCTGGAACCGGATGGTTGCTGGTTCGATCCCCCATCCAGCCATCTTAGTCGTTGTGTCCTTGGGCAAGACACTTCACCCACCTTGCCTACTGATGGTGGTCAGAGGGTCCGGTGGCGCCTGTGCATGGCAGCCTTGCTTCTGTCAGTGTGCCCCAGGGCAGCTGTGCCTACAGTGTAGTTTGCCATCATCCGTGTGTGAATGTGAGTGTGAATGGGTGAATGTCTGTTAGTGTAAAGCGCTTTGGGGTCCGGAGGGACTTGAAAAGCGCTCTATAAGTTCAGTACCATTTACCATTTACCATTTATCACAATATGCTAATTTTTTGAGAAGGGCCTGTAAATACCATATTTATAATAAAATATTACAGCACCTGTTTTTCCCTTTTCTTTTTTTTACATCAACACTCCTGCTTATGATCTTGTTCCATGATGAACAGGAATTGCTGGCCAGGTATCCATGGATACCAATGGTGACAGAAACGGGGACTTTTCATTGATGGCCATGACCAATATTGAAGCAGGTAGCTATGAGGTAAGCAAAATTTTAACCTTGTCATAAGATCATGACAAATACATTCCCAACGATACTATCACTTTCCCAAGTAGGCACAGAATGGTTACATATATTTCTGGCTTGCAGGTAGTAGTCAACTACTTTGGGGTAAATAAAACTCTTCAGCTGCTGTCTGCTTTCAACAGTAAACATTTTACAATAAAAGGAAGACATGAAGCAAACCCAGAACTGCCTCAAAAATCATGTAAATGTATATTTCTGTTTAAATAAAAATGGCAAAATTTTAATTTGAACGAATTTTAGTATGTTTTTATCAATAACTGCTTTCCTTCATAGGTGAACTGGGAGTATCAGCATTGACTGGAGTTACAGTTGGAGCTCTTCTTGGTGCTGTGATGCTAATAGCATTCTACTTTTTCAGGTAAAATCAGCATTAATGCAGTGTCAATAAAGTATGATTGATCTATTAATGTACTGATTGATTTAAATATTAAAAATGTAAATGGAGTGTACTTGTATATTGCCTTTCTATCCAACCAGGACACTCAAAGCTCTTCATACTACAATCTGTGCCCTCATTTACCCAATCACATAGCACTCTATTAGGTCTCTACAAAGCTAACATGTTAGCTAACAAAGCTAACATGTACAATCATCTATGGAGACTAATCAATCAATCAATAGCCAATCACATTCATACACTGATGCATGAGGGGTGAAGTGTCTTGCCCAAGGACACAACTGAGACAGCTGGAACAGGGGATCAAACCGGTGACCTACCACTTCCAGGACAACTCCCCTAACCACTCTGCCACAGCCGCCCACAAAAAATGTATTAAACTCATTTWTGACATTCCTAAACCACTAACAAAAACTTGTAGAAAATACAGTGCTTTAAAAATATTTATACGCCATTTCCACATATTTATGTTACAACCATAAATTTCAAAGTAATTTGCTGGGATTTTATTTGATTTATCAGAGTTATTCAGGCCCAGTTGCATATGAGCCATATGTAAACATGACTGTGGATTTGAGGGCAATAGTTATTGTGTACCACTAAAAGGCTAAGGCAGATCATCAGGTTTTTGCCTGTGTCTGTGTGCATGTGCTTAGTTCTCTGACTGATTGTAAAATATCTAAAGGACTACTGGACACATGTTATAGAAGAAGGTAATTGTTAGATGTGCACGTGCAACTGAATGACTTAAGCTAATCTGTTTAAAATGGCTACCACAGCAAACTGATCTTGAAAAACAGAAAATGTGCTGTACAGCTAAACTAGTTTTACACATATTGACCTGAAGAAAAAGATTAGACTGATTTATATATTTGTTGTTCAACAACAAACCAACAAGGCTGAGCATCAAAGTGCAACCACTCTCTGAAGCTTGTCAAACTAAGGTGAGATCATGCCATGTCCTTTCTGGTGATCATCTTAAAATTTGTTACATTGTTGTAATGTTGAAACAACATGAAAATAACTGTGCCCCATTAAAAGAGGAACTAAAGGTTTAGAAGACAAAAAGAAAAAAAAACACTTTTTATTCATGTGTTCATGTTAAAAGGGAGGATTTTCTTAAAATCAACTATCGTTAAAAACAAGTAGAGACTAAGACTGACAATTTGAGCATCAAGCTAACTAAAACCTTACTTGTGGATCACAAAATTTCATCAAGTAACTGGACATGTTGATTTTAAAACCTGTTTTGTGGATTTCAATGTAACTGGTATTGAAGACCTTTTTGTGAATTAAATCTGGAACCACAAGACCCAGGACATGTCGGCTAGTTATGAACGATCCTACATCTGCAGTCTTCATCCAAATATTATAGCTAAATTAATGCAGTTTGGTTAGGTACAGATTTTTCTCATCAGTTGATGTGACTCCTCTAAATGTTACCTGCTCTTCAGCCACTGAATCCTATGCACTGTTTTGCCAATATTGATTAAAAGAGCAACTAAAAGCCCCCTAGTCATGGACATTGGGCCTCATGCAAGAACATGTTCATATTCTTATCCTAAATTTCTCTTRCTTTTGTTCGTACGAAGGGTTCGTACGAACATGTCACGTCAGATTCAACAAACTCTTCTATCTTCAGGAAACATGTGTAAATGAGCAATGAAATTACACCTGTTCTATCCAGCTGCTCATGCACGTGAGAGGAGATTAGCATAATTACCACCCCAAAAACACCGTATTAGGCTATGTTTCCTGCCTCAGCTACAAGGAAGTGTTCATTTATTCATGAAAATGACAGCAAAAACTAAAAAGAACTTTACGAGTTCAGAGATTGAAGTCCGTCTGTCAAAGATCCAGACATTTTTTGCAGGTCAGCTGTGGAATAAAAAGAGCTGCTAAAAGTATAAACAACTGTGTTAGATCATTTTCATTTATTCAGAAGCCGCAGCGCTGCACACCGTCATTCTTGGGTTTATTGATAAGGTTATCAATGATTATATTTTTAGTTATTACACTATATTCATAGGCGTAATTTGCAGGGGGGTTAGGGGGTTATGACCCCCACAATAATTTGATCTAGTTGATATATATATAGCAGTTTTGAGATCTTGCCACAAATTCTCAATTGGGTTTAGGTCTGGACTTTGACTGGGCCATTCTAACACATGAATATTC